CCTGCTGAAGAATCATGCCCACTGCAGTAAGAAAAAAGATGTCTGCCATTTCTTTTGCACTGCAGTTAACTGTAACAGTGTCAACCAAATATTTAGTTAATACTTTTTTTGAAATCTGGAGCATTTAATTAATTAATGAAGTGTATCATTTCTCTGTTTACTAAACATAACCTTCCTTCCCGAATTCACTCACAGTGATGCTATACTCCTGTTGCTATACGCCTTCTGTTGTTTCTGCTCAGATTTTTCCCAAAGCAACAAGAAAAAGAAACTGATAAAGATTCTGAATGTTTGCCATGGGGAAAAAAATGGAAACCAGAAGTCTCTGGTCAGATTTTAATCAGCTGCAGTTTGGAAAGACAATGAGCAGCAACAGAGACATCAAAGTCTATCAGTAGACTCAGAGAAAAGAATGACAATGGTTTAGCTCTGTTTGTGTTAAGAAGATTCCCTTCACAATCACAGAGGCTACAAACTTGTATTGAGTTTATTTGACTATATTTATTTTTTAATGAAAATTGGCTAATTTTTTTTACTTGATGCTTGAATGTAGGCATTATAGTTATACAGTTTTATAGTCATATAAATCTTTCGGGGTGGATTCTACAACACTGCGACATAGCACCTAAACCCATACTTTGAAAACTATAAAGAAGCAACCTGATTTCTAGAGGTGTTACTGAGCTCCTATGAGATGCACTGAAAAGAATAGATGTGACTAATTGGCATCAGTGATAAGTCAGGACCACTATCTAACTTTAGGCACTGATATTTGCAGTGTCTGGATATTCTGCAGTAACTGACTCTGAGAGCTTGCTTTTGGCTGTGGGAGAGTAGATTTTCCAAACTGTGAGCACTAATATTTTGGAATAGCAAAATATGCTCTCTGCACAATTTCCTTGCTCACCCATTAGCACATGCAGAGAGAGCTGATATCCATCACTGAGCAATTAATTACTAATAGAAAACTGGCCATAGCTATTGCCAGATTACCTTTATTTTAAAATACTAGTATTTTCAATACATCTATCATCCTGCTGGTCCGTAATATGAATCAACACAATACTAGGTGGATTTGTATAAAATGCTCCTTAGTAGTTCATAATAAACTGTAGTCTAGCAAATCAAAACTACAGAACAGTATCTCAGGAAGACAGAAAACAGACCAAGAAGCTCTATCTGGTTCTAGTGCCAATACCTTGCACCTTATTGCCACCATGTCTTATATGACATCAAATATACGTTCAAGGTTTAACAGACATATGTACTGACATAAAAGAAGTTGGATGGAGTTTTTGACACAGCTGGAAAATGCATGGTTGTTCACTGCACTTCATGAGCTCTAACATGCCACAATGTCCCTACTTCCAAACTTGTCAAACATGATTTTAACATGCCTGTGTGTATGCAAGGATATAAGCATGTTAAAATCTGAGATACAGCTATGTGGCAGACTTCATCTGCATGCCACATTTCCCCTCAAAATCCAAAGCCCTCAGTCTGCACTGTGATCCATGTGGGCATTCTGCTGTTACAAAGAGCCCCTCTGATCTCACTTCTACCCCAACATAGTCACATCTGAGAATAGAAGCATAACTACATAACATTCTTATAGTCATATAATACTTTCTCTCTGGACAGATTCTGGAACATTTTACGATACCTAAAGCACCTGTGAAAAATAATAAATTCTAGAGTCAGGAATGGCAATCAGAGAATGCCTTTCCTGAAGACTGGACCAACTTATTCTTGACTTCACTGATAATGTAGATGTGCTACAATTTTTCAACCTACATTCCTTAATAAAAGAAAATTTCTTTAAAAATACTATGTGGACTGCATTACCTTGGGAACTAATGCCAAGAAAATTAATAAGAAGGTTGATGATTTCCATCTTTGACTCACACCAGCATGCACAGATAAAACAAAGTGCATTTGACTGAGTTATGAAGCATATCTTAGCTTTAAAACTGAAATCTCCTATTTTTGACAATTTCTGTAACAATACTAAAGTTATGTTCAAATAGCTTTTTGCATTTGTTATTATATCTTAGCTATGTATGCTTCAAGCCAGTTCTTCCTAATCCAACCCCCTCAAAAATATGTGGGAGCAGTTAATACTTCAAGCCTTCAAGCTACACATGCAAGCAAGCAGTTAATTTTCCATTCAGTTTACAAGAATAAATGCACTGACACTTGATCACACCATGGAAACAGGTTTTCTTCTTCTTCTTCTTTTTTACGTGAGCACACAGAATTCTTAATCTTAAATCTGTCAACAAACAGGTTATCATTTTGATTCACTGCAATTTATGAATGATGACTGGAGGTACCACATATGGTACACAGATTTGAAACAGAAGGATATATGTAGTAGGGAGAAAAGTGGTGAATTTGTGTTAGGCTGCTTCTCCCAATCTGACTTGATATTATGTACCCATACATATATTTTGGAAAATATCAAGCTGCTAAAATAAAGATTCAGTCTGACCTTTCCTGACAAATTAGACTCGATTAATTCATTTCAATATTTTGGTATTTTGTTTGTACCTCAAATTGTGTGAAACGTTTTCTACCTGATATCCAAAGAAGACCGTCCACCACACATCCTGCATGACATGAAAGGGATCGGTCAAAGGACTGTACAAAGGTCCACTTGTTCTTCTTGGGACAATATCGCTCGACCGTAGGCAAAACTTGGCGCAGTTCATTTCTGCCCCCTACGGCAAAAAGGTACTCATCCACAGTGCCCAATACAAAATGTTCCCGGCAGTTCTTCATTGAAGCTATTTCAGCCCAAGAGTTACTACGGGGATCATAGCGACAGGCAGTCCTTACCGCACAAGTACGTCCTGTGGCATGCTCAACCTCTCCACCAGCTACAAATAGGAAGTCCCCCATGACAGCTACACAGTGGTGACTCCTCCCAACCGGCATGGGAGCCAGTTCACTCCAGTTTGCAATCCCTGCTATATGAACATTCTCCTGATCGACTGGATTGAAGTACCGGAGTTCTTTTACTTTACAGATCTCACGTTTTTTGCCACCAATAATGTACAGGGTGTCTGACTGGAAGCGAGGTTTTGTCCTTCTAGTCTGCCAAACTGGCTGTGCATAGATGCTCTGGTGGTATGCCAGAGCCTCGTTAATAAGAGCCGTTGCAGTTTCACTAGCTTGCACGTGTGGATGAGAAAGAGCGACAGCATGCAGTGTATCCACATCCATAAGGCCAAAGCGGATGTACTGGAGAAGTTCATCCATGTACTGATAGCGGCAATTGTGTTCCAACCACCTCACGGCTAGCTAGAAGGCAGGGGAAAACACAAACACAAAAAATAATTAATTATCCGTATTGACATCACAACTGGGTCTTCCAACATTGTCTGCATTCCAAAAAGAACCATATATTTGCATATAGTAGACATGTAGATTAATATAAATGAAGTTTAGGAATACTTATAGATCAAATTTCATCTGCTACTTACATTAAAGCATTGTCTGTTTCCCTTAAAACTGATGACAACTATCTATAGTATTAATACCTGATCATCACAGTGCTGTGTCAAAATATTGCCTGTCCTTTTCTCTTCAGAACATCTGGGAGCCTGCTACACAATATTAACAGAAACTGTCAACCACTAGCAATGCTGTTGGAGCCCATAATGTCTAAGTAATTTGTATCAACACAGGACTCAAGCTACTGGACAACTATAATAAATACAGAGATTGTGAGATCACTGAAGACCACAGGGTAAAGTTGAGGGAAAATTGAACAACTCTCTTGTAGGGCTCTATTTATAACAAAATACTGAAAGAATTAGAATAGGATAACAATTCCACACATCAATTTTCTTTCTGCTTGAGTGACTTTAACCAAAAAGTTAACGCATATATACACCCACACACAATGCAAAAAGGACAATATTCAGATTATTTGGAGTGCACAATAAGCATAGCAGTGCCTTTTACCCTGATGTATCATTATTCTTTACCTCTTAAATGAAATTGTCAACTCTCCTGAATCTGTTCCAAAAAAACCCCCCAAAATTTTTTCTTGAAATCAAAGGTTGCCTTTGATAGCCTGGGATAAATAAATGCAAGAGAAAGTTCAAAAAATAAACAAAGGTAAAACACTAGAAACTCTTTCTTGTTCACACTGACATGAAACACTTTAACCCTTTTGCTGCTTTATTCTCTATCAACTGCTCCAAAGCTATCATAAAGCAGAGCAGCAGAAAGGAATGCTGTGTTTGAGTGATGGAAATGCTGTGTAGTTCCCATGTGTAGATCCTGAAAATAAAGTGAGAAGACAGAACACCAAACACAGATGTACTGGAGCATGCAGGACTGACTCACTTAGGAACCACTATCAAGAAGAAAAGCTTGCGATGGATCAGCTGTGTCAGGAGAATGGGAGATCATATCCCCAAGAATATTTTGTAGAGTGAGATTCAAGACAGCTCTAGAAAGTGGGGTCACCCTCTATGGCAATACTATAATGTGTACAAAAATGATATGAAGTTGTTCAACATCAACCTAGAAAGCTGGGAGGAGCATGCAGAATCTTGTCCAGTCTGGAGAGAACATTTGCCACTGGGTTCAGCTCAACATGAAACAGCTTTGATCCAGAGGATGGAAGCAAAGCGAAAAATAAGAAATCAGCACACTCTAAATTTGTACACCAACTTAGACAACACATGGATCTGTGAAACTTGTAACAAGCTGTGTCACTCTCAAATTGGGCTTGTCAGCCACAAACAGATTCAGCAGGCATCTAACTAGACCTCTTACGTGTACACCATGATCCAGAGGATCAACGGTTGCCTGATAAACAGCTCCTGTGTACATCTAGCCAAGTATCACATTTGTTGCTAAAAAGTCAAGGAGCTACTTAAAATAAATTTAAAGCTGCTCACGATCTGCAATCACTAACGGAGAACTATACAGCTATAAATATTAAAAAGTACATTCAAAGAATTACCTCATTTGGTTACCTGCCATGACTTGATTTTAATAGATTGGCAAGGCTCCTGCTTACAACTGTTGCCACCATTGGCCCCTAAAACAATATGAGATCTGCTCTGTCAGCTCTGCTTCAGGTCAAAATGCTAACACCAACTGCAGAAATAGGTGCATTTCTGCATGCTGACCTTAGCTGGGAAAATGCTTTTCACTTCACTTGTAAAATATATTTATTTGCAATTTTTAGCTCTAAATTCTGTTAATGATTTGGAACAGGGTTGTCCAACTTACAAGCCTGCAGAGGTCACATGCTCCAGGGGCTGCACCCCATGCAGACCATTCCAGGTAAGCCATGGGCTACATGCTGCACAGGCACTCTTCCCCACTGTTTTGCACGCCCCCACTAGTGCATCATACAGGTGCAAACTGTGCCTCCCTCCCCACCCCATTGCAATGTGTAAATGTCCTCTCTGCAATTGCAGCTGGAGCAAGGGGGGGACAGTATTTGAGAGCCTGGAGGACACAACTTAACCTTTTGAGGGTTGCACGTGGCCCTGTCATGGGTGTATGACAGGCCTGAGTTAGAATCCAATCCCTTTTCTCCCTTTGCTGTTTTCTAGCCTTTCCTTTTCCACGTCCTTGTGACAAGGTATTTAGCAGAATTTGCAGATTCGTTGGAATCTGACAGGCCATGCCGTGAGTGCTTCTGCTATGACCTCGAGTTTGGGACCTCTAGGCTGTCAACTGTTCACCTTAGCACTCACACCATCCCAGCCCTGACACTGTATATACAAAAGCCCATCTCTACACATATATACATCATTAATGTCAAAATGTGTGAGAAAATGTAGAGCCAGACAACAAGGTTCTGCAATCTCCAGTACAATCTCCTCGCTCAGTTGTGCAAAGTGTGGTATAAGTAGCTTCCTTCATAAGCAGTTTCCTACATACTGTGAGAACATTATAGGTTGCTGTAGTGCAATAAAAGATTTCACTGGCATTGGATAGTTTTAATACATACGCTGAACTCACAAAGGCACTTGTATGAGACAACCTGCATAATTCAATCATGGGTTTAAACTAAAGAAGTCCACATTCTTTCCACCCAAACTGATCTGTCCTCCTGCCCTCCCCCCCACATGTCCTGAACCTTTCTCTCCACACCTTTTTAGTGCTCATCAGATCCTATAAATGTGACCTCCAGCTGCTCTGGGCTGAGAAGACTGATTGGCATATGCTGTAGGTCTCAATGAAAGATGCAGCAGCAGTGAAGTGACAATGGTAAGATGACCTTGATATATGCTTCTTCCCATCTTCCTTTACATGACAGATGGGAGAGACAATGGAGAGGAAGGTGAGGCAAACCTATATCATCAACACAAGGAGATGCTGGCCATGTTTACAGGCTTCCAGGGCTGCCTCAATTCAACTGCTGAAGCACAAAGGCAGATGTGGAGTACAGTACATAGTAGCTTCTATTATCATTCCATAGCATTGTGATGTCAAAGGCACAGCCACAAAGCCACTACATCCACCTCATATTTGGCTTCCCCCCAAACGTCCCCAGAGGTTTAAGATAGACAAGTATCAGCTAGCCTGAGGTTAGTCTCCCTTGTGCACTAAACTTGAAGCAACTCTACTGTCAGGACTCACAAATGTGAT